TTTTAATTATAATTATTATTATTTTCATTATATTGTGTATTCATTATGTATGCGTTTACAATATATATTTTCTGTTATAGTAGTTATTTTGAAATTTTGAGACGACTTACAATTAGACGTATCGATTCTTCCATCAACTTTCTCGATATTTTTCAGCTGACACACAATGACTATGTTATTGTAGAAGGAAGCCTCCCGCCTAATGTTCTTACGTTGCGCGTAATCATGTTGTAATCTGCTTCGAGAAGACCTACTGCTGCTTCTCCTAATTGTCTCATTCTTTTTTAAAGTTTGTTAGATCTTTTGTGAGAAAGAAAAAGAAGCACACAATCTCGAAGATGGAATGAAAAAGTAGAAAAACTTTCGTCTAGATTGAACTTTTCTAATTGTGCCATATCGAGAAACTGCGAGTTTTAAACAGATAATATATATATTTATAAATTCTGATTTAATAAACATGCGATTTAATAAAAAAGCTTTGGAGCTTAACAATATTAGAGAGAGTGAATTTTCCTAAGAAACAATAACAAGATCACACATATATATACATACATATAATATATTTATTAAATCTTCTAAATTTAAAAATAAATATATTATTAAATCATCTAAATTTATCACTATGCAAACCAACTTATTGTAAAACCGCTACCATGAAGCGCGAAATGCATTTTTGTTTTCGCAAAAAAATTCCACTATGATATATAATAAATTTGTATTCCGCTGTCCACCAAAACGATGACAACAAATTGGTTAAACGAACAATATGCTTCGATCGCTGGAAAACAACGGCAATCAAAAACAACAGGTTTCATCGCATTGTGCCGTGAAAGCCGTGAAAAATTTCAAATTCTCAATCGTCTCTCGTGACTAGCTTTCGGAAAAGTTATGTCCACGGAAAAGGCAATCGAATACTGCCGTGCTCGATTATTCGCGCAATCTGAAAGTCATTTGGCTTTCGTCCACATTAAAAATTCTAAAATAACACTTCCAAAATTCCGTACATTTTTCTGGTCTTTTAATAATATATATTTGTTTAGAATTTTAGATATAATTGTCAAATATAGTCAAACCATATAATTATTCGTGATAAGCAACAGAAGATCTTATGTGTCGTATCTCAATTAATATGTTCGATCACTTCAAACAAATAAACCAATGCACAAACACGCGATATATTCGCGATATAAACCAAGCGCGGCGAGCATCGATCTCTCGAGAAAGCGAGCTCGTTTTGCGGGCAATTTGTATCTTTGAATTATTTCGACGTCGTGCCGCTGGCAGCTAAGTTCGCAGCAGCCATTGCGAGTAGATAATACGACTCGGATGCTTGGAACTTGATCGAGATTTCGCGAAGTGGTTGTTCTTCAATCAATTATTTAGTACATTTAATATTTTAATATTATAATCTTAATTTATAACGATATTATAATAATTTAATATTATAATCGTTATTCTTATTTATTTTTATTTAGAAATAAATAAATCCCCACAAAAGCAAAAAGAGTTTTACAATCTTTTAATCTAAATTCGAATGCCGATACAGTGTGTGGCAAATATTTTTCACTAATCATACACATCGAGCATTTTTATTGGATTCTATTAATGGGTAAAATTTTTTGTCGCCATTTAATAGGGTCTATCATAATATTGATTAACTGAATAAAAAACTGAAGCGATTGATATTTATAATAATTTGACTCTCTCTATCTTTGTCACTTCCCCCACCACCGCCGTCCATCTCTGATTATTCAATGGTAAAATTATACAATTGTGCATTTTGTTCTGTATGCATCGAAAAATTGAAATATACCTAAAATAGCGCGTTATTCGGTGGGAAAAAAAAAAAGAAAGCAAACGAAACACGAAGGCATCCGATTTAGGTCGCGCAAGAGTGCTCAAGTAAAGGTGCTCGAAATTAATCCATCGAGGAAAAAACCCGATGGAGTTCGCAAATCAGGGATAAGCTAAAACGTGCAATATTTGTTTTATTGCCGCTATAAAAGCAAGATTTTTTTAAGTGGCGGAAGAAAATCTCGTTTGTATTACTTTATCATACGGATACTACTTGATTCATATTTCAACTGTAGAGTTCCACGAATCCACTTCTAACAATGGAAATATTGCTGGCACAATATAAGTATAATATATGTGTAGATGTAGAAAGAGACATGATTTTAAAAATCCAAGTATAATTCACCTAAAGTAATAACATTACTTTAAGTGAATTATACTTGAATTTAAATAAGATTTATATATGCAATTATTTTAAAGACATGAGACAGCAAAAATGCAAAGAAGAAACAAGAATTGAATCAGATCAAATATTATACAAAATAAGAATCAAATTAATCGCATATAAATGACGAAATAGAAAATGCTAAGCAACAGGAATTCCATGACTTTGTGGATAGAAAAAGATATGAAAAAGAGAGGGCAAAAGAAAAAATGTGTGTCGGCATTTACGTTACCCTAGGGTGAGATTGTAATTTCGCTTCTCCTTGCATGAATGCTGCACTCTTGCTGTAGTTCCTTCCCAATTCGCAGCAGCCGGTCATTAATATTCGCAGAAAGACGTTTGTGACCGCATAAATTACTAGAGAAGTTATATAAAATGTCCTGTAAATAAAAATGACAGTTCTTTAATATTGTGTAATTAATCTAACGCAAAGAGATAAAATCTTTTCTAATAGAAATCGTTTATCAATTATGACATACACCTCGATTTCTACTTTTTTCCATTTTTGAAATTCGAATATTATATGTATATAATATTTAAATTCTCAAAAATCGCCAAACATTTTTTTAATATTAGATTTTTTGACTAATTTAGAGATAATTTTTTTTTAGCAAAAAATAAGGCATTAAAAATTTTCAAGTTATAAGCGATCGAAAAAGGAAGACTTTGGAGAGTTAAATAAATAAGTACATTTTTCAACATATTTTAAATTTATTAAAATTTTCATTTCAGAAGTTTATCTTCTGATGCAAAAACTATATGACACAAAAAATTGAAAAGTGGCAACAACTGACTTCCCTTGATATGTTTTCGCAAAGGAAAAATTTATTCTAAATAAATAAAAAAATCTCTGATTAAAAAAATATCCAGTAACACATATATACTATATATCTGCGTGTATCTAATAATTATTACTACATAATTGTTGTATTTTATATAAAAATATAGAAAAAATTATTCAAACATTCTATCGCTGAAGAAAAATGTAACAAGTTATTTTTTTGTATCTTGTTTCAGGTGAGTCTCGATCTATATGTTATAGTCCTGCAAAGGTAGTAAATAGAAGAGGAAAGATATGGGGAAAATAAATCCGTAAGTTAACTGTAAAAAAGTAAATTGAGCCATAGAATTTCAGATCAGTACTCGCACGAGCGCGCAGACACACGCACACATGCATTAACAGAATCTTCTTCCCATTGAATTATGGAATAATAGTGTTAACTCTCTTTGATATACTGCATGCGACAAAGCTTTCCGTTCCGTTTAATGTAACTTAAGTAGGGTACTAATAAATTTTGGTAACGCTGCCTTATGCTTACTCGGAAATATCGCGATTTTTAGTGTCTGCGAGTTTCAGAGAAAAAGGATACAAGTATCCATAAAGTAAAAATTTAAATAATTTGAAAACCGTCGATATTCGATCTCTTTTTTTGTCATCTCTCTGTTTCCAATTATATTTAATATTCATATAAAAATATTTTATCTTGAAATTATAGTACTAAAATATTTCACCTTGGTTATAAATAACAAATGCAATAATTATTACGTGTGTATGGAATGACAATGAGGAATGCAATGCGATTAAGAGATTTTACATGCAAAGTGTATTAATTTCATTGATAAAGTCCATTGATTAATCCTGCTCGAAAAGCGTATACGAATTCTCAGGAGAAACGCGCGCAAAGAGTCCGGCAGACAGCGCAAACACAGGCTTTACTACTGAAAATATGCGCAGCGAGCGACGCGCTCTACAATCAGAATCACGATTTGATACAAAACAGAATGAAAATAATTCAACAAACGTTTTGTCAGAAATCTGATCTCTCTTTTACTACGGACAAATTCAAAATAATTACCGGATCTCTGATACATCTCCACCGTCTGTCGACAACTAACCCGTGTTTTTGTACGCACTCGACTCTAAGCTTTTTTTCCTGGCTCTCTGTCATGTTTTGCTTGTTTCAAAACACTCAATACATCGGATATAAAAACAAAATATTTTAGTTATCTTACAAGTTATATTCAATGTAATTATTGATTTTAATAATTATCTTAATAATTTCTTGTATTTAACGCACATTTGCACGAAATTTGATTCACATGATATTTTTATATTTGCATAATTTAACTAAGTGTATTATTATAAAGTACAGTTTAAGTTACCATTCCACGTTTCGAAACGAGAGGATAATCGTAATCCTGGCTAACGGAGCGAACGATATATCAACTTGACATTAACGCGATAATTAACGATGACTTATGGAGAAGGTCGCCGCGTGCACGTAGCTACAATGAAGGAAGCAATTAACGTTGGAATATAACTACTGGCCGTATTGTTGCCGTCTCCAAAATGAACTTTGTCGGCTTCTAATTAGATAGCGACCAATCAAACCTCCCATATTGTTAAAGAAACGACGTTAAAGCGCTTAAATAGTACTTGCAATCTACTAATTTGGAAGGTAAACTTTGTTTTTCCCTCAACGTTAAAATCTCTCAGACGGATGATATAGCTATCCTACCTCTTTGTCACGCTGTTAAAGAAACTAGAAAAAACCTGAGATTGCTTTATCATCTCTCTTTAGGAGGATATTAAAAAATCTTGGGAATTCTGCGAGCTGAGAGAGAAAGCTCTTTGCAACACAACAAAATTTCTCTTCTCTCTTTGCAAAAATTAGATACGCAGACTTTTATAATTTTTTAGACTAAATAACAATTTTCAAAGATGGATTTCTGTTTCTTAATATCAATGAACTATTTTATTTTGTGAGAAAATTTATCTTGGTAACCAATTTTTCTGAATTTTCTTTACCTTGAACTCTTGTACTTTTACTTTTAGATTGATCATTGATATTTTATCGTGTACATTTATCATACAAATTATAATAGCTATTTCTTCGATTTTGTAATTTCCTTACTGAAAACAAAGCTAATCTTATTTTCAGCTTGCGCGCGTGTTCATGCCCTCGCGTGTCTCGAATGTTCGAAATATATAGCCGAGCTATAAAGCTTTTCCGGCAGGGGAAGGCGTTTGCGCCTTGTTTTATTTCGAACAGTATATAACATTGCAGAGTACTAGTGCAGCCGCTGATGCAAAGCTGCAATTGCAAGGCGAGAAAGGGAAAAATACATATAAAGGGAGAAGGAAAAGGTAGACCGATATAAAAAGCTTCGTTTCACTTACAATATACATTTGTAATATTCTATGCATTTTCTTTATCCGATCAAAAGCATGACCACGCATAAAAGAAATTTCTGCATTTTTCTAAAATTAATTCTTTTCACATTCGTTGAAAAATCTTTGTTGTATTTTTGTATAGAAAAAACGTTTACGTAAGCTAAGCTATCATATACGAATATTTAAGCAAATATCTCTAACTATTAATAATTAAAACTTAAATGTTTTCAATTTTATAAAAAAGAAAGGATATAAATATCATATCATATAAAATATAGAGAAAAATATAAGAGAAACATTTTATTATATCATAATATTTATATATATATTTATATAACCAAATCATATTAAAGATATTTTTCTACCTAATATACATCACGTTCAATTGTGATTTTTGTTTACTTCGGTGATTGGCGAGTCGTCGAATTATTATATCGCAAACAAAATTGTGCTATCGCAGTAGAATTCAAGCAGAAACAGCGTAGGTACAGAGTATAAAAACGAAATATTGCAAAACCACAGTCGGATCGTATATTTTGCGTTTGCGATATTTATTCAGAAAATACCTCTAACGATAAACTCTACCTGTTTTCACAAGCTAATTTCTAAATACATTTTACTCTTGCTCGTAAAAATTGTTTTTATACAAAATCATCTAATGGAATTCAATACTTCAAAGATATTACGTACGTAATGTTATTACATTTGTTTATCAAGCATAATGTAATAATAATACAGAAACAATATATTAAATTAAATTAGTTACAAAATTAATACAATTGGAAAAAGATCCAATAAAAAAATATGATAATTTATCTCTGTAATTAATGCATTAAAAAATGCATTGTGTAAAAGTGATGTGAGATTATTGAAGAAATATATTTTTAAGTGCACACATTTTTTAATATCAATTTAAAATTTTGAGTATTATTTAATAAAAAATTATTTTTAGAAATAATGTGTGTGTGCAGATTAAATGATTTTTTTTTTTTTTTAAATAGGAAGAGTGTTTTCTTTTATTTAAGCCGAGTTTACGATAATGGAGCCTCTGAAAATCGTGATATTCCATCGCTACATTGAACGACCCGCATTTGAAAATTTTTCGTACTCGCGGAAATTGCACGACTGGATGTTAAAATTTATTTCCCGCATGCACTAAGCTACCCATACATTTACACGCACAGACAATGAACGTGGATATTAATGGCTGAAGGGGCGTTTCAAGAACGGAGGAGAGAGTAGGGGTTCCCACTCATTTCCAATCATTTTTTACTAAATACATTGATGCATTGATAAATTGGAAATTGTTTAAACTGTTCGTTGCACTTTAACTGTTCGTTGCACGAGATGAGATTTATCGTGCAAAATGAATTTCTCGAACAATAATCGGATATACTTGATTATCTTTGGGATTTTCGGTCTCCAACTTAGCGTTTCTCGTGAGAGCAAACTTTTGGCGCCACATAAACTATTGGCAGCGCGCCTATAACTGTAAACATGTTCGTATACCCGTGAACTCGTATAATCCATAGATGCAGTGTGAAACTGCTGAACTTTGTAACTAGAATGCCAGGTTGACCGAAAGGGTTTCCCGATTGTCTAGAGAACAAACTATCAATTTTCCCTTTATTGTTATATGCGATAGCGAATACGTGAGGTAAGATCTACTCGTAACAAAGATCCGAATATTTCTCTCTCTTCTTATTCAAGGAAACTTTAAATAAATGGCTGTTGGTCCACTCTACACGTAGAGACATACGAATATTGTGGAATGCGCGTGAGTCGTTTTAAGGATGTATATGTCATATGTCAAAACATTGACAAAAGCATGAAAATTTCATAGACTGTTCTACTATTTCTTCTAAGTATCTATGCAAAACCTGAGCACAATTCTCTTAACAGTTTGGAAATTATTTAAGTTTAAAGTTAGTATTGATTCTTATGGAAAATCTTATGGAAAATTGTAGCACATTGACAAATTTGACGAGGAAAAAACATTGCCAACGAAATAAAAATTCTCGCATATATTAAGAAAACTCTAATAAATATTCGTGCAAAATTTGATTTAGATCCACTCGTTTAAAAGTTATTTATTAAAAATTGTAACAAAATATTATCTGTCTCTCTCTCTCTCTCTCTCTCTTTCTGCGAATTACTTGTTTTTTTTTGTTTCTTGCATTTGATTTCAGGGGTTATTTACGATCAAAAGTTTTTATCATAAATTAGTAAAAATATTAATTACAACTATTTTCTTTTACAAAAACGTTAAAAATCATATTATTTTGTGATACTTTAATTCTTTTTATAATACGGATTTATTTATTTGATTTTTCAAACAGTATAAACTTAAGAAATATGTTTTTCTTTTAATTTTGACAGTTTTTTGCTACTATTGTACAGCCAAATCGCGCGTGAGTCGTTTTAATCGCGCGCTCGCGCATTTTCTTTCACGCATTCTTGAAATAAATTAACGCTCAACAAATAATTCAGCGCGACGTTTCTATAATGCACATTTCTTGTCGTTTTGCATTTAATGCCATCCAATTTTACATTTAGAATTAATGCGTATACCAGCGAAATAACTTACATCGAGAGTTGCTCGATGCCCGGGACTGGAAAGAGGAGAAACAGTACATATGCATATATATATATATATATATACATATATACACATATACATCATCCGTTATCTGTGAGTATAACGCGAAGCACGTGTATCGAGCGCGGCAATGAAATACCGCTAGCGAGAGATAGCGAACGAGGAAATCCATTTCGTCGAAATTATCCTAGGACAATAGCGCTTCCAACGAGAATCGAATACTGTCGATAAAGGCCTATCTGAATATACGATATAAATTCTTGTGGTAGAAATCTCTTGCGCGGTAGAAATTGTTTAGATTAATTTTATGGGCACTATAATGTTAGAATGATACGTATCCATAAATAATCACGTATCTCTTTGGGATAGAATATAATAAAAAATTAATAAGTATTTTATCTTCCTGAAATATAAATAAAAAAATTGTAAATAATTATAAATAAAATTATATATCAAATATAAAATATTTTCAATTAGATTGAGATATATCTTTATATTTTGTTTTCATAAAAAAAATAAATATTGACAGCTTTGATTGTTAAAAAGACTTTGCATTCATGTTCAGTTACATAAAATGGATTTAAATTAACGTAAAGCAAAGAAGCAAATTAAATCAGTATAGGAAAATATTGGGATTGATAGAGTCTGTGTACGAGCGTTCAAACTTTACACGACATTTTCTCGTTATATCTGGGTAATAATCTTTACGCTAGTTTACTTAGTTTATCTAAAAGCTAAACCGTATGAATAGATTTTAACTCAGTGAGACGCAAGTTCACACAGAGATCATCCGACCCTGACTCGAGTTAAGACGACTATCTTTCTCATAATGGATTTACCTTACGAAACCTGGAATCGGATAAGGTTCGTTTCCCTACGATCTTCAGAGAGTATCATTGGTAAACGCCACGATAGCTAATTAGTCGATTCTGTTCGTGAGATATCCAATCAGGGGATGGGTAGTGTTTTGTCCAACGCGAAACGTCGCGTCTCTCACGTTCAATTTATTGCGTATTGTTGAGAACGTTCATGAGATACATTGTTCTCACTGATGGAAATGTGATTTAACTGGCACTCAATGAAGACAACTCAATGCAGTCCTCGATAAACACATTTACGGAGGTTTCTTGTTAGTTTCTCGCGACATATTGGGGCAACCTTTGATCTGATTACAAGTTTGAGACGAATTTACTAATTAGATAAGAAAGAATTAAGAGGAGACTTATAATCTAAGAATTTATAGTAGCATAATATAATTTGTGTAACCTGACGTCTGTAATTTTTATATATCACGTATAAAAACACATGTATATGAATTTAAAAATAAATCTAACATTTAATAAGCAGATATAAATTTTAGATATAAATCTTACAATTAGAATCTCACTCAATGTGAGATCTTTTATTTCCTTCACATTCGCATGAAGAATCTAGCGTATTCAGCAAAACGTGAATCTGTTAACGAGCACGAGTAGCAAAGTTTCATGCCACCGAGGACATCTATGTAAAAATGGCAAAATGAAAGAGATTGGTGTTTCGCCGACGGGGAAATTCCGGAAAAATACGCGCGCGCGAGTATTGTCTGCAAACGTATTGTATTTTTCTTGTCATATGGAATTTCTCTGTTCCTTCGGGGCAAATCTCGAAAAATTGGAATTGTGAATCGTCGTAGACATTCTTTCGAAAATCTATCTTATGACCGCACAAATATACTCATGAAATGTTATTATATTTATCGATAAATCGATTTGGGAGACAGAAAATACAACTGTTTCATCCCATCTCCGTAATCTTAAATATCATCTTAATATTATTCTATTACATTTAATTTTAATTAATCACCATCACTCTAATTATTTTAATCGAATAATTATTATTTATCAAACAAAATCGCTTTTTTCTCTTTAATAATATCAAATATCTTTTCCAATAAATGTCTTTTGATGCTTAACTGGACAACGTAGTGCTTGTCTGTCAGAAAAAAACATATATGAGTAAAACTGAATACGGAAACGGAATGAGAAATTCACATTAATATCGTGGAAGTGGGAAAACTCGAATAAAAGTGCAAACAATTCAATTGTTTCCCAAAATGTACTTGGATTAAAAGCTAACAAAAAAACCATAGGTATGTGAGCATAATTCCGAAAGTGGAAATATATTCTTCTTCTAAATTTAAAACTCTCTATAAAATTATTCTCCATAAAAAAGGAAATTCATTTTACATTTCCTGCAGCTTTTTATTCTTAAACGTTACACTCCTCCGTAATTAAGTTTCAAATTAATATCCGTTAGGTAAAGGAATATATACAATAGATTAAAAATAAATTTAACTTTGTTAAAAAATAAACTAGAAAGTTAATAAAATCTTTAGCAAAAATAAGCATACACATAAAGACAAAAATTACTGTCCTATATAAAAAATTGCCTTATAAAAATATTTATATATATATATATAAGATAACTCATCTTAGTGCTATATTAGATATGTTATCTATTAATGCAACTATCACTTTACCCACATTATTACGTTACACGCATAATGGAACTTCGTTATCACATTGTATAATGGAGAAATGGAGTAATTGCGACAATTACTCATGGATGGTGACTGTGAGAATCGATTCGCCGGGCCGTATACTAGCGATTAAGAAGTATGTATTCCCGAGAAATCAATGTCGACTACGTGGTATATATGTTTCAGATCTTCTAGGCCATCATTGCTCACGTAATGGTGGTATTATTTAAAGATTTCTTAGATGAAAAATAAAAACTTAAGAATATTGTTAAATATCTTTATCAATATAAAAAAATAAAGGATGAAACTGGACATTTTTTATATATATGTAAAATATGTGTGCGCAAACGTAACAAAAATAATATTAATAAAATTGTTTTTTTATCTTAAATGTAATCCGATAAGTTTGATTTAAATAAATTTATTATCTTATAAATATTAATTACTAGATTTTTATATATTTTTCGAAAGAAATAAAATTATGCTTTAATATCAGATATGTTTCTTGTTCTATGTACTATCGCGGCATATGTTAAATAGCAACAAGTGAGAAAAGCATTCTATTAAAAAGTCAGCTGGAAGAGCACAATAATGAAACATGCAGAATAAAAAAATTATTTACTAATGTACATAATACACAAAGATTTAATCCAATTATCATAACAGTTTCTGAATTAACATAATAATAGAAATAAACAGCACAGAAATGCATTAACAGATTTATTTATTAGTATTTCATTATCAATTTGTGTGTGTGTGTGTGTATGTGTGTGATTACTCTCTGTATTTATAAAGTTTCAACTTTGCCTAACCTAATCTAACAGCATTATCAAACTATAATGTATTTTATTGCCGCCACGATGTTTCATTATGCGAGTAATTTATGAATTTTATCGCGTGAGATAATAATATTTATGCGCGAGAGCTACTTATATGCAATTACAATGCATTTACATTATCGTGTATTGTATGCAATTTTACGAGATGGCAATGTATAAATAATATTCGCATCATTTAGTGCCGGACAACAATATATTTTCGACGATTTTAAAGTTGTAATTTTTGCGAATACGGTGTCTTTTATTTCGGTAAAATTTACATACGTTGCGGTAGCTTCATCCTTGGTTAATCCGTTCATCAGCGTATCGTATTGCTGACCTAGAAACAAGGCAAACATTACATTGAGCTTAAATCTCATATTCCGGTGATACGATGAACGCAATTTATTAGATTACAAGCGAGAGTGCTAATATTTGCAATTATATTTCGAGGATTTGACAACACAATGCGAAGACCGCAGGAGATTCCATTAATTAATGTATTATCTTGCGTGCTAATAATAATGATCATCAATTGATCAGAATTACGCTTATTTCACAATTGATTTGTATCTCTTTGATTCTTTACAATTAGAATCATTTTCATTACGAGATTAAAAATTCATTTAGCGTGTGATTCGTATATTGATATTAAATTTCTTATTTTGTAATCATGAAAAATTGACTTATGTTTTCATAAAAGATACGAACACTTTTGCAGCCTCTGAAAAATTCACGAATATATCGTATGTAACGACCCGGTACGTATAATTATAATGCATTGAATTGTTTAACTAAAATGAGATATATTTAAACGTAGCCTTTGTTACATTTATATGTAGCTACGATCCTTTTATTCCTCCAAACACCCGCAGACACACGCACACACACACATATATACATTTAGAATACTGAATTTCGAAATACTAACCAGAAATATTATTATTTCAAATATCACGAATCTTTCTCTTTAATATTTCACATTTAAAAATGCCGTGATACGGTATCTTTCCTTTTATTTACTCCATTTTAATCGATCTTTTGTTTCTCCTTGTTTTTGTTTCGCTGAGAAAGCAAAAGGTATTCTTAAATTAAGGAAAAATTCTATTTTTCGCGTCTGTCATGCTTATTCAATATTTTTCTCAAAACAAGAAAAAAGCCTGAATAATTGAGGTAAACCTTTATCCGGATCAATTTCTGGAATAAAGTAAGGAGGCGCTTAAAGTCGGGTACTAATCAGGAGAACTATTTCTTCTCTACTACTTGGTAATTGTCCCATATAATTTTACAATTTCTTAAAATTAAATTTTGATTTTTATTGATATTGTTCAGTAAAAATAAATGATTTGTAACTCAATCCTATTAGATTCTCTTTATAATAATTTTTTTTCCTCACAGATATATATTTTTGATTTAACTAAGTGCCTTCACTATCAGGCAGCGAAATTCTCGAGTAATTTCTCGAGGCGTTCGAGAACTTACCTAAGTGCGAGGAATACATTTAATTCTACAAAATCATTTCCTTCGATAACGAAAATGAAAAGGAGGCGAGAGAAAGGGATCACTCGCGTAATTACCATTTAAAGTACAGATTCGTAGAAGCTGACCCCTTTGTCGTGCACAAATTACGAATCAATAAAATTAAGAATGAAATCGCAAGAAAGTCTTTACTTATTTACTCGAGTCATTTATATTTTATTTTGCTTTGTGAGAATAATACAATATATATTCCTTCGTCCAATATTGATGCGATCTATAGATCGTAGATATTCCAATATTAATCGCACATTAGCCTGCTTATAAATTGCATTATTCGGCTTATAAGTTCTTTGGTCAATTTTGAATTATTTTAAATGTCAAAATTGAACTGATTAAACAAAAAAAAAAAATAAATAAAAAAAGACGAAAATTGTGCAAATTAGAAACTTGCACATTGGTTCCTTATCATATGATTTCGCTCACAAGAAGCTTAGGCTCCTTAAAGCAAGCGGGTTTTTCGATTTTGGCTTTCTCATAGAGGAAGATATTTCAAAATTTGCGAAAGTTACAGCGTGTACAGACATTTCTCAAAAAATTCAAAATTTTATAAAAAATGAACCCTTTTACTGATCCTCACCAAATTCAATACTAATTATCCTTTAATGATACTCTATCCATTTTAAAAAATTTAGCCCAATATCTTAATAAAAATTGTGGAAGATAGAAGTTATACAATACATTTCGTACATACATACATACATAAATTTTTTAAGAATATAATTTTTCGACGTTTTGAAACATTTTAAACACATAGGCATAGGAAACCCGAAAAAAAATTTTGTCACGAAAACAAAGCTTCCTCTATAAGGAAGCAAAAAAGAAAAAAAAAGAGCATGTATTTTTCGAATGGTAATTATCCTCACTCATTTTATCGAAGGGAAGTTATCCTCCATCAATCCAAATGGATCTTTTCGGATTTCTAGTGAAAAATGTATGAGCGCGAAAGAAGAAGGGAATATAGTAAACGGGAGGAGAAAATGTGAGAAAGAAGAGCACGGGATAGCGGGCCATCTCTTTCAATTCTTCCGCAAATTAATGTCCGATTCGACGGCTTTATCTCTGGCGAGTAGATATATTTCCTTCATTGAGAGATTCTAGCAAAGTTTCCGCAATGGAATTAACGACTCCGTTATGCGTCAGATGCAGAAGCATTCGAGAAGAAAATCCGAGGAATCGATAAAACTCCCGCGGTAATGCTATATTTCTCATACGGATATAACGATCGATGCTAAAATTTTATATAGCTGTAATTAATTTGATTATGTATCAAATCTTTTATGTATCAAGATTATTACAACGTTATCAATCATCAATATAAATGTATTAGGATCTTTATCTAAATGTGTAACGAAATAATTGCAAATATCAAAATAGCAGAAAATAAAATTGAAAAATATTGAAAATATAATCTTTCTCTCTCTCTCTCTCTCTCTCTCTCTCTCAAAAAAAAAAAAGTAAAAAGAGCATTTTACTATGATTTAGATATATTATTGATTATTATCGAATAAAGACGAAGAAAAAAATTGATATTAATATGCAAATTGAATTAAAAATGTGACCAACTTTTATTAGAATAATAGATTATAATGCTGATCGAATGTGAATAATGCTTCACAAGTACAAATTTGAAAATGATTAAAAGAGAAAGAAAAATTCTAAAAGTAAATAAATCTCTTTGTCAAAATCGGTTTGTGTCAGAAAGGAAATCTGGTGAGAAGAGAAGCAGGGACAACATGAGGATCAGCCAATCGAACGCGTCGTCTGTCGTAGCGGTCCAGAAAATACAATTTACGTCCGATTCGCTCAGTCAAGCGTGTAGACGCGTATAAGTGGCGGCGCATCCACATGGGCTGCCGCATAAGCTATCGCGTTTCCGCAGGAGTGAACGAAAGCGCCTTAATATTGCCATAACGAAACGCGTTATTCACAATACATACAGACAATATATGCGACACACACATATACACACACACATACATACTTAATGCGCGCGCGTGTCCGCACGCGCGACACACATGGTATGATAACCGGCATCAAAAAGCAAATGTAGCGTTGCGATGTCGTCAACAACGTTAAATATCCATTGGGATTTATATCGTTTCGAGTGAGCGGAAGATTCGTTATTATGGCGAATAAGCTAGGTTCTGGTACGGAAGGATAAGACGCCTGGCTACGTTCGCGAGGCTTTCCCCATGCTTCTTTTTTATTACTTAGCGCGATCAGTTGATCGATTTCTTTTTCCTTCACGGACGTTAAGTTAGATTGCGAAGAAAATTGTGACCTCTTGAATCAACGATCTAAACGTGAATTTTTGTTCATATTCAGATAAAATACTAGTTATTCTTATCCCTTTTTTCACATACACATGTTTCGTTTTTTTTTTTTTTATACTTATTGATTATTTTATTTAATCTTGGTAATGTAAATCAGCTTTGAATCGACTTTCTATTTTTATCTAATCGATTAGAAGCTCATTGCATCGAGTATAAGAATTTCGAAATTTACATTATTGTATTGGATGACAAACAAATAATTCTTTAAGCACATAATTATAGTGTGTCAAGAATTAAAATTAAAACCAAAACTTTTGTATTTAAAACAACAATTGCAGCGAAATAAAAAATCGTATTTGCTTTAGTTGCATAAAATTTTTTTGCTGCATTGCAGTTTTCATACATGAATTTTGCGACACATTGTACGTATGTAATTAGTAACAAAGTTAATAACAATATTATATAAATAGTTATTTAAATGCGTCCTAAATCCGTAAATAGGTTCTGATAATGCTATCGGACGAATGAAACGAAGCCCCACCATTGCATCGCGCGCAGTGTCACCATCGACATCCGCAGTGCCGTTGTTGGCATCTGGCCAAAATCTATCCTTCGCTTCCACCCCCGCTACGTGCTTAGTAAATCGAGGTTACCGGGGTTTCTAGCGACGCGCCCGCCTTTATCGTCCGAGTTTTCGGGCTGTAATCCGACATAAGGTCCGGATTGCACTTACTGGACAAAGAATGATGTCCATTTTCACCCCTTTTTTGTGAACGATAAATTTAGACTTTTTTTTTTATGCCAAACTAAAGAGTCTAAGTCCCCTAACTATTATATACCAAGCATGAAAGTGGATCCCTTTTTCCCGTTCCAGAAATAATTAACACAAAAAAACACACGTCAACATAAGGCGCCAGTATTTTGTTCAATTAAAAAATATTAGAAATTACAAAAATGCACATTTCCATTCGGAATTCTCATCTCTTCTCTGAATTCGAATTGATATATTGGCTATAGCTTCGTTTGGAATGCGGCAGCCATGAACGTGACGTAACTCAAATATCAAATAATCGTGGCAACGTGAAAATAATAATATGTAATAATATAATAAAATAAAAAATAATATAATATAATATTATAATAATATTTCTACAAAGATTAGAGGGTTCACTTTACAACTCAATATAATATATATAATCTAGATAAACTTTATTTTAAGATAACAAAATATTAATATTTTAATTCACAAAAAAGGGTGAACTTTCAATGGAATCTGGGCATCTCTTTTGCCGAAATATTTTAAAGTTTTGATTTTTCCAAGTGTCATCTATTCTTAAGTGATCTAATTAACACATGAAAATGCAATTTTCTGTGTAAACAATAAATATCCAATTTGTCGATCGAATTTTTTTACTTTAAAATTATAAAGAGATATTACACTTTCATTATCATTATCAGCTACCAACATAACAGCAGTCTAATCCTAATTTAACTTTTAGCCTTAGCTTTAATCGCTCGTCTTAGCTTT